TGTCTGTAATTTGTTCAATTAATTTGTATATATTTAACTCTATAATTAGACTGTAATCGTCTTTTTTTTTCAACTAGAGTCGCTTGAAACATCTTTAATTATCTTGTTCGACTGGTGTTTAGAAACAAGTTCCAAACTTTAGTTTTTAACAACCTTTTCTTACCAACAAGTAACCTTATTTATAACTAAAAAAACGGGTATATATCTAAATTATACGTGTTTATCAAAGGATAAACAAATTATAACTAATTTATTTTAATCCTCTTTGCCTTTTTTTTTTGAGGATGATACCACTTATCTTGGGTGGTGAGAATTCTTCGTGGCTTTTAATGCTTTTTTTATATTTAAATTAAAGCTTTACGTTGTTTTAAGGCTTTGAAAGTGCGACCAAGTGAAAGATGTAAGATAAATCATTGTTGGAGTGTACTAGAATTTCCATATCTTTTCATTTTTGTCGTTATTTGAACATAATACATCAAGCTTGCAGTGCTTAATTCCGAGTGTGACTGGTTGGTTTTTATTGGTGCTATGACGAGGCGATATTTACATTTGGTGTCTCCTGATTTTTCCGCAACCTTGTGACGAGATTAAGAACTTCTCGAACATGTTTTGCATGGTCTTCTCTTTACAGAGCTTTTAGAGCTCATTTACTTTGGCAAGCATCATTAAGTATTGGAAAAAATAAACCTCTTTTTAATTCGCTGACATATTTTTGACAACGCTTGGCCGGGTGAGTTGGTTTAGCGTTGTTTACTTTATAATGATGTTGCGATGAAGTGTGACCATCTTCCCGTCGTGGAAAACTCTCAAGGTTATGGGTACAAACTGTCACATGATGTGTACGTTAATGGTGTTGTGAGGATGACTGGCTATGTCAGTGACCAAAAGGTATAGCTTTGTGCCTAACAATAACAAATCACGTAGGAAATTCACGAGGTCACTCTGAATAACAAATTTGTTATTGAGCTTTTCATGATATATTGTTCATTTATATATTTTCTGTGTATCAGAGTTACCATTCAAGTAGTATCTCACTGAAAAAAGTAGATTTCAATTTCAAGTCAATAAGGCCAATAGAAACAAAAAAAGGCGGGCACTTACATTTCGTCCAGAGGTGATTACTGTGCCCCAAAAAATTATTTTTGGGTGACTGAGTAGTTTGAAGTGTTAAAAACGGCTCTGTTCCTTGATATGTTTTTCATTTATCTATCTATTTTTAATTGTTTATATTAATAAGTTTCAAAGTTTTTAGCTTAGGGATGATGATGATAATAATAAGTAATATATAATTAGTTGCACATTAGTTTCTATCATTAAAAACTAGTAAAAGAAACAAAAATATTAACCAAAAAAAGGACAAAGAATAACAAAGTATTCATTCACAGTATATATTCCCCCCCCCCCCCGAAAAAAAAGTATTCCCAGATCAAACGAAATTAACTCGATGCATTGGGGGAAAAAGGATAAAAAAGCAGTATCCCTGAAAACACTTCTTATGTAGTTCATATTCACCTGTTATATTCACAGTAAAACACTATTTTGCCTCATTGTATTCACGTAGATTTCTTGTCCTTAGACCATCACATTTCAACTCCTTACCTTGTATTGCTTAGGTATTTCGTGTTATGTTTCTGCTTGAAATTAGTTCGAACACTCTAAACTGTGGATTAGGATGTAAAATGCCAAGGAAATTATGAAGTTTTTATTTTTTCACTAGTGGGTTCGTTTGTTTTTTGTTAAATAATACAGTAGAAAGGCGAATATTGTGATAGAATCATAATCTACACGAATTGTCGTATAATCATCTTACTTATATATGCAATTATGTGTATATATATATATGTATTACACAATGGCTATTTGTGTAGTATGCAGACATAGTAGGCATTCTCTACCACCCATATTTAGTAAACTCTTAAAAATTAATCTAAAAAATTTTAGAATTTTGGTGCATACAAACGTGTGTAGGGGACATTGGTCAAGAAAGTGAATACGTTCCTTTCGCCCTAGTTACCTATTTTTTAGTCGTTTCCGTATGATATCGTGTACACTTTCTCAAGATTATTGTTGATAGAGCACATTATGGAAAGGCGGGTTAGGTTATATCTTGGGGATACATCTTCCATTATTTTAATGTAGGTAGCACACGTGTCCTGAATGAATAACATTGTAGAACTGTATATATATATATATATAATGCTACGTTTTCTCAGTCTGAAACAGATATTCACAGATTTACAAAGATCTTACGTCGCTGTCTTCCATTTAAACATTTGTTTTTGACTGTATTTGTATAGAATAAAAATTGTTTCATCGTGTTTTATATTGTGTTAAGTCTCTTTCTTTAGTCTAAGCTCCGTCAAAAGCAAGATGTTTCAGTTTAACTATGTAAAACATTTTCTATATGAACCTCTTGTTATCTTGTGGATCTTACTCGATTTTTCGAAGTAAGTGAACCTGAGAATACCACGACTCTCAGGACAAATTTTAACATTCGCCATTTTGTTTTTGTTGACCTCAAATTAGTGTCAAAAACTATTTTTCTTTCTGTGTATTTCGGTGAGACGGGAATACATGCTAACGAGTTTAGCTGTGGATAAAGGTCAGAATTATATGGGACTTTCTTAACAAACGTTATTTCTTGGAACAGAACAGCAAGCTTTAAGTTGACGATAAGCGTTACAGTTGTGGGTAGTATGCGTTCAAGTAACAGGCATAGCTCAAGCTATGAGCAGATATTAGAAGTTTTAGGTGTCGAATGACTGACTGGGCATCATATTCAAGTTTCAGATTATTAAGAGATTTGAGGAAAACTTAATTTTGTCATATTTGGGTATGTATATATATATATTTTAATACAGCAGCCAACTCTTTAATATATATGTGTTTGTGTGTGTTGTGTATATATATATATATGTATTAGGTATTTTCTGTCTTTTTTATTCAGTAAAATTAACTTGTTAAATATGAATTTGTGCGAAACCATGTTTCGTATCTTCACTGCTAAAACATAAACCTTTTATTTAGAAACGTGATATTTTAGGTTTAACAAGCGCACACTTCGTTCATATAGAGATTTGTTTTGGGATTAAAGTATGGTTCATCACTGAACTTAAATTCGATCTATTTTCTTTGGTTATCTAGTTCCATTACTTACTTTTCTGTAGAGGGTAGTTATGTTCCGAGGGTTTATTCGTAAACTTTGGAGTGGAACGAACGTAGCTTATTTTTAGTCGTACAGAAATACGAGTGCCTTTTTGGGTGACAATTACATGAATATGGATCAAACACTTTTGTCTGAGAGACTATAAAAAGGCGCCATTAATCCTCTAGTGCTGGGTTTGTTTGTTTTAAAACAGGACATGCGTGTAAACGCAATAAGGCTCAAACAAAATTTAACCTTTGTTACTTCAGTGTTGCTGTAGTAACGGGAGTCATATCTTATTAACTTATACATTTGGTATATGCGATCATTCGGGAATGTGTGAATTTCACTTCGTTTTTTTCATTTGATTATCTCTTCTCTTATTTTGGGATTTGTATTATAATCAATGGGGAATGTACTAGCTGGCATCTAGATGTATGTACATCAACAAGAGCCTGTTTGTAGAGAACAAAAATATAGTCTTTAGATAATACTTAGATGCAGGAATGTTAACAAGCACTTTTTTTGTTTAAAAACTATGGAAACCCACGATAAATTTTTATATAGATACAGACACGAGCGTCCATAAAAATTTCTCCGGAAGGGGGCAAAGTCTAAGTCATAAAGAAGTACGTTTCTCATTTTTCAAGGGAGATAAGTGAAGTGCCCCCCCCCGACAGACGAC